ACCGCCCCGCCCGTCGTCATGTCGTTCAACCTCGGGGACACGTCCGTGAACACGTCGCTGAAGTACGGCCTCAACCCGGCGGCGTCGAAGAAGAAGACCGCGGTTCGGAAGAAGCCAATCTTGGCCGCGTTCGCCGCGGGCGACGACGACGACGACGACGCGAACGCGACGCACAGGGAACGCGCGAACGCGGAGGTGCTCCGGCAGCAGGCCGCGGCGAAGCGCGCGCAGAAGGTGCGGCGCGGCGTTCGGTTCGTTCCGTCGGCGTTCGGTCCGTCGCGTCGTCTCGACCTCCCCCCGCGCGTCGAACGAAGCGAGTCAACCCTAGATCTGACCGCTCCCCGTCCCCTACGCATCCGACTCAGGCTCGCGAGCTGCACAGCGCCGCGCTGGCGGAGGACCCGTCCGTGTTCGACTACGACGGCCACTTCGACGGGTTCCAAGACGCGCGGAAGCAGAAGATCGCGCGCGCGGACGAGGAGCGCACGGAGCGCAAGTCGCGATACATCCAATCCCTCATCGAGAAGCAAAAAGAACGCGAGAGAGAGGACGCCATCGTGTACGAGCGACGGCTCCTCAAAGAGCGTCAAAAGGAGGACCACCTGTACGGCGACAAGGAGAAGTTCGTCACCGCGGCGTACAAGAAGAAGCTCGAGGAGGACGCGAAGTGGCTGGCGCAGGAGAAGATCGACGACGCGAGGGAGGCGGCGGATGACGTCTCGAAGAAGACGGACCTGAGCGGGTTTTATTTCAACCTCATGTCGCGGGTGCGTTCTATCTCACACTGGTTCCCATACGACCGCGTCGGCGTGGTGAACGCCGATCCTTAAGGACTTTCTCTCCCGGCGATTCTCTCCGCCCAGGGTCCCTCGCTTTCAATCCCGACACATCTCGACGCCTTTCAACTCCGCTTCTGACGCCTTTGAACTCCACCGCTCCGACGTTCGCTCGTACGGAACGACCCTCAGAACGTCGCGGCGGGCGAGGACGCGGGGACGGGGAAGAGCGGCCGCGCCGCGCCGGAGCCGCCACGGACGGACGCTAACGCTGACGCTGACGCGTCGAAGAAGGCGGCGGAGGCGCACGCGAAGGAGGAGGAGGGACGACGCGCGCGCGCGATGATGGAGGAGGAGAGAGAGCGGGCGGAGAAGGCGAGGAGACGCGAGGAGAGAGGAGGCGAGGAGAGAGGCGGCGAGGAGAGAGGCGGCGAGAGAGGCGGCGACGGGGGCGCGCCGATGGAGGGCGGCCTCGAGATTCGCAAGCCGCCGCCGCCGCCCGAGTCGGCGGCGCCGCCCGAGTCTGCGGCGGCGGCGGAGTCGGCGGCGGAGGTCGCGACGGGGGCGCGGCGGAATAAAGAGGACGCCGTCGCCGCCGCCAAGGCGCGATACCTCGAGCGCAAGCGCAAGGCGACGTGAAGCGATGCTGATAACGTCATAGCGTAGGTAGTTACAAGCGTTGACTAAAGCGTTGTACACGTCGTCGCGCGCGGCGCTCTGCGTAGCTTAGACTGATGAAAACAAAATGCGAAGAAAACGAAACGAGACCCCGCGAAGCCGGCCGGCTGGTATTACGTCGCCCGCCGACCCGCGTCTCACGCCTGCGGGAGATACTCCGGGAAGTTGTCCTCCTTGACGACCTCGAACACGAACGACTTCGGGTTGTCCAAGATCTCCGAGATCTGGTCGAACGGCGGCGCGTCCGCCGCCTCGAACGCCGCGGCGAACGCCTTCGCCTGCTTGAAATTTTTATGAAAGTGGTACACCTGCACGCCCTTGTACTTGGACGCGAAATCGCTCCCTTTCGTGATGTCGCCCGCCGCCGAGACGATAACGCCGTTCGCGTCGTGCAGCTTGTCGCTGTCCGGGGACGTGAACGCGGGGATCCAGTCTTTGCGGACGTCGAGTTTGCTTCCGAACGCGTACACGCCCAAGCCTTGGCCTTTCTTCGCGTCGGGGGGGAAGCCCGTCTTCGGGTCCGCGCCGCGGAACAAGAACGGCGCGCTCTGCCACGTCGTGATCTGCGCGAGGAGGAGGAGGGGAGGGGTGTGTGTTAGGGGTAGGGATATGTTAGAGGTATTATCGTATTGTTAGGGGTAGGGTAGAGGTATTATCATGTAGGGCGAGGCGGGGACGGCGACGGCGACGGCGTAGAAAAAAAAAACCAAAAAAAACCAAAAAAAACCAAAAAAACGAACGCCGTCGCGATCGCACCTCGCCCGTGAGCCACCCCGCGTCCCTCCCCGTCTGCCAGAACGGGTTCGCCTTCGGCCCGGTGTCGGTGAAGAACGCCTGGAACGCCTTGGCCTCGCTCGTGGGGTGCACGAAGTACGTGCCCACGCGCTCGTCGGCCTTCTCCTTGCCGCGCAACACGCCGAGCGCGAACGTGGTCGCGAAAGCTTTCCCAAACTTTGGCCCGCCCAGTTCGCCGGTGTGCAAATCTTTCATCGCGGGCGCGAACGCGGTGTCGTACCACGCGTCGAACCCGACGTCGCCGGTCGTGTGCGTCGCGAACGTGCACTGTCGAGAGAAGAAGGATCGCGCGTGGAGGAGAGGGGCGCGATACGTCAGCGGCGAGCGAGGGAGCGAGCGAGGGAGGGAGGGAGGGAGGGAGGGAGGGAGGGAGGGCGGACGACGGGATATTCTTCGCGGAGATATTTGTCGACGTCGACGTCAATTCGATTCTATACACTGGTTCCCATACGACCGCGTTGGCGTGGTGAACGCCGATCCTTAAGGACTTTCTTGGATGGATGGATGGATGGATCGATCGCGCGCGGAGATGAAGTCCTTAAGGAATGGCGTTCACCACGCGAACGGGGTCGTATGGAAAGCAGTCTCGTCTCGTCTCGTTCGCGTCGAGCGAACGATCGATCGACGCGCGCACCGTGAACGAGCCGTCCGCGGGGGTGTATCCCGAGATGATCTTCTTCGCTTCCGCGTCGGACGGGAAGACGACGTCCGCGCCGAGGAGCGCGGAGAGGCCGACGGAGGCGGAGAGCCCGACTTGGCGACGCGACATCTTCGCGTCGACGGCGTCGACCGATGCGGGAGGAGGCGGACGCGCGGGCTCGGGCGCCTTGGAGAGCTCGTCGTCCTTCTTCGCTTCCAGCGCCTTGCGCTGTTCGAGCGACCACACGGACGCGCGGCCGTCGGCGCCGCCGCCGGCGGGGCCGGCGCGGCATCGGAGCGCGCGCGCGCGCGGCGCGCGGCGCGGCGCGCGAGGCACGGCGGCGTGAAGCGAGGCGGGGCAAGCGGACATCGATCGGCGCGCAATGTGAAGTGACGTGTGTATGACGCATCGCGAACGCTCACTGGTCCGATTTGGCCAGGATTTGGCAAAAGTGCGAGCGTCTGCGAATTCCGCGCGCAAAATATCAACGATCGCGTATGCGCATTTAGTCTGCAGATAGTGCGCGTCGCAAACAAAGCGAATTTCTCCAGATTCGCGAATCGTCGCGTTCATCGCGGGTCCAGCTGGCAACCTCGCTTTCACCTGCTTTCGCTTTCGGTCGCTTTTTCAACGCGGTCCCTGCCGTCCGCGCCGTCAGTCGTCTCGCCGCGTCGCCTTCGCGCTCCCTCACGCCGACGACGACGCGAGGACGCGATCGAGCCTCTCCGCGATGTGACGCAGCCACGTCGTCTTCGCGCCCGGCTCGAGCGGGAACAGGTGGTTCCCCTCGATCTCTACGCACTCGAACGCCGGCGCGTCGTCGTCGTCGTCGTCGGAATCGCGTTCGCGGTTCCCTCGCGCGAACGCGCGCCACTTCGCGACCATCGCGCGCGTGACCTTCCTGTCCCTCGTCCCGTAGAACGTCGTCATCGGGAAGTCGAACCGCCGCCGCGACGATTCATCTTCTCGCGGCTCAGGGTATTCGTCGAACAACGCGAAGTCGTGTCGCATGATGGAGTGGTACGTCTTCCACAGGTGCGTGAAGACCATCTCGTTCACGTCCCAGGTTCGCGCTTCGTCTTTGAACGCGTCCTCGGTCAAACCTGTCGTCGGTCGATGGGCGGGCGTGAGCGTCGTTTGTGTTGTTTTGAAAGGGTAACGACCGATCACGAAATAAACGCGCGGATTCCGGGCGTTATTAAATCATACGAGCGCGCACCTCGGTTCGGCGTCCACGGCCGCTCTCTCTTCGGAATCCCCGGGTCGGGAAAGTTACTGAAGAACACGCGTCGCGGCGACGGCAGCCCCGCTTCCCTCGCCGCCTCCACGAACTCGTGCCCGAGCCACGTCCCGACGCTGTGACCGATCACGACGTACGGCGCGTCGATCAGCCTCGAGCCGATCACCGGAAGAAGCGCTCTCGCGATTGCGGCGGCGGAGTCGATGAAATCGTCCCTCAGTGTCGTTCCATACGAGCGAACGTCGGGGTGGAGTTGAAAGGCGTCAGAAGCGGAGTTGAAAGGCGTCGAGGGCGGGGATTGAAAGCGAGGGGTGGGCGCAGAGAAACGCCGGAGAAAGTCCTTAAGAAACGGCGTTCACCACGCGAACGCGGTCGTATGGGGACCAGTGTATAGAACGCGCCTCAGCCGCGTCCCTCGACCGGGGAGTTGCGCGGCGAGGACCTCCGCGTCGTTCGCGCGGCACCACTCCAGCAGCGGGCTCGCGGCGCGCCGCGCGCTGAGCCCTTCGTTCGTGTACATATCCTCCGCGTTCCCCGCGTTCGCGAAGCACAAAACGGTCAGTTTGACGGCGTTACGAGTCGTACCGCCGCCCGAGTCCTCCACCTCGGTGCCGCTGCGTTTTAGCCCCGGGAACCAGCGTCGGAAGACGACGTCGTCCGCGGGAGGGAACGCCGCGCGAAGGCGCGCGGGGTCGTCGCGCGTCGTCGGCGTCGGCGACGACGACGACGGCGACGACTTTTGCGGTTTCGTCGGCGGCGACTCGACGCCGTTCGTGGCGTAGTAGCGCTCGATGTCGTCCTCGGACCTGGAGGGAGTTGGGGCGACGGGCGGGATGGACGCGTCGATCGGATCAGACGGAGGGCCGACGACAGGCGTACTACCTATTTGCTCATACGAATACGAGTACGCGTACGAGAAACGATGCTTCGGGAGACGAGGCGTCCCCCGGATCGCGGGGCGCGCGCGCGCGAGCGCACCACTCGCTGACGGCGTGATCCGGCGGCGGCGGGACGCTCTCGTGGTCCTCAGCGAGGATCTCGAGGAGGTTGACGCGGCGCGCGAGCGCGTCCGCGTCGGCGTCGGCGACGGGCATGGCGCGCGGCGGCGCGACGGTTTCGATGCGTTTTCCGCGCGGCGCGAAGTGACAGGACGGCGGACTGGAGTTGAAGTTTCAATCTGCTGATCGATCGAGCGAGATCCCTACTGTCGACGACGTCGCGTCAGTTCGCCGCGCGCGATGGCGTGTCTCGCGCGCGCCGGGGCCGCGTCGGCGGCGCCGCGTTGGAGCGCGCGAACGTCGGCGCCGCTCGCGGGGGGGATCGGGAGCGCGCTCGCGAGGCGTCGTGGGGCGGTCGCGCCGTGCCCGCCTCCGAACGCGCGACCAGGAAAACCTTTCGTGGAATGGTGCCGCGAGAACGGAGAGCGGGGGGAGAGGTTGCTGGAAGAGTTCGACGACGACTTGTTCTCACCGGGGGAGCTGACGAAAGCGAGAGCGGAGCGCATTCGATGGACGTGTCGCGAGTGCGGATGGACGTGGAGAACAGGATTGGCACACCGCACGAAAGACAAGAAACCAACTGGCTGCCCTGGGTGTGCCGGTAAAGTGCCTACGTGGTATAACAACCTCGAGGTGACGTGCAAGGAGAGCGACGGAAGACTCGAACACTTGATATGGGAGTGGGCGCATCCGACGAAACGGATGAAAGACTTCATGCCGGCCACACACGAGAAGGTGCCGTGGAAGTGCGGCGGGTGCGGTCACGAGTGGGATGCGACGACCCATGACCGCACGCGCGCCACGCACTCCCGCGGGTGCCCGAAGTGCGCGGGTCGCCACCTGCACGACCTCGAGGTGCACTGCGCGCAGAGCGACGGGCAACTGGATCATCTGCCAAGGGAGTGGGCGCACCCGACGAAGAGCATGAAGGACTTCGCGCCGGCCTCAGAAGTGAAGGTGCCGTGGAAGTGCGGCGGGTGCGGTCACGAGTGAGATGCGACGATCAATGGCCGCACGCGCGCCGCGCACTCCCGCGGGTGCCCGAAGTGCAGCCCAGGCGGCCGCCCGCGGCTACAAACCGAAGCGGACTGAAGCGACGCGATACGCCTAGTTGTAGTCTACAGTAGCTAGAACGCCGGCGTCGCGTCTCAAACGCAAACGCGGCGGAGCGAAGAAAAAAAAAACGCTCACTCCTCCGCCGCCGCGACGCGCGCGTCCCCGCTGAGCCACAGACTCAACGTCGACCGTCCCCCGCGCGTCACCTTCCCGACCGCGTGCACGTTCTCCTCGCCGCTGCTGAAGACGACGAGGCGCCCGCGGCGCGGCGTCACGACGCGTTTTCTTCTCACCCCGTCGTCGTCGTCGCCGTCGAGGAACGCGAACTCGGGGTCGAGGGTCCATCGTTCAAAGCGACGTCGGGGTGGAGTTGAAAGGCGTCAGAAGCGGAGTTGAAAGGCGTCGAGGTGTGTCGGGATTGAAAGCGAGGGACCCTGGGCGGAGAGAAACGAACGCCGGGAGAGAAAGTCCTCAAGAAACGCCGTGCACCGCGCCAACGCGGTCGTATGGGGACCAGTCGGGTGTATATATGAACGCACCTCGCCGCCTTCGAAGTCCGCGTCCTCCGCGTCCGCGTCGTCGTCGCTCCCTCCTCCCGCGCCGGAGGACAAGTACAGCACCGCGCTGATATCGTACTCCGGGACGTTCGCCTTGTCCACGTGCGGGCTCCAGTACCCGTGCTCCTCTCGTCCGCCGCCCGCCGCGGTCGCCGCGTCGTCGCCGTCGCCCCCGGTCGTCGCCGCGCGTATGTGCGTCAGCAACCCCCCGACCGGATGCAGCGCGACGTCCTCCTTCCCGCCTTCGTCCCCTCGCAGCGCGTCCTCCGCCGCGACGCGCATCTCCCGCAGCACGCGCGTCATCACGACGTGCGCGTCCTCGCCCAGCAGCGACTCGCTCGCGCGCCCCACCGTGACGCACGCGTCGCCGCGCGCGCGATCGCGCAGCGGATCGAGCGCGGTCGCCGCGACGCGCTCGAGCCGCGCGACGTCGCGCGCGTCGAACGCGCCGTCGATGACGTGCCGTCGCGAGCGTCCGGGCCGCGGCGACGCGCCGGGCGGCCACGGGGGAAGCGCGTCGACCGATGATACGTCTCGACCATCTCGCGTACGACGCGTCGTCCGCGTCGGCGTCGGATGCGAGCCGGTGGCGAGGTGCTCGAAACGCGTCGAGATCGTCGAGGGCGATTTCGCCGCGGACGTCCGCGACGCGATGAGCGCGCGCGCGGACGCCGCCGCGCGGTCGCGCCACGCGTCCCTCGCGGCGCTCCACGCCGCGGTCCCGACGCGCAAGACGTCGCCGCCGCCGCGCATCGCCGCCGCGCGGACGACTGCGGCCGTCGTCGCGTCGCGCGCGCGTCCCGTCGTGTGGCATCGATGGGGTCCAAAAGAAAAATTACTCGGATCGATCGACGGGTGCCGACTAGCCGATACAGATCGATCCGCCGCGCGTCGCCTCCGCCGCCCGCCGCTCGCCGCGCGTCGACTCCGATCAGATGCCGATCGTCCTCATCTCCCCCGCGAAGACCCTGGACGAGACCCCGATCGCGTCCAAGTCCGCGCTCTCGCGCGTCACCGCGCCGCGGCTTCGGTCGCGCACGGCGACGTTGCTCGCGATCGCCGCGAAGCTCTCGTCCGCGCAGCTCAGATCCCTCATGTCCATCTCCGCGCCTCTCGCGGACTTAAACCGATCGCGGTACGCCGCGTTCGAGACGCAGCCCGAGAAGGCGTGCGCGTTCGCGTTCGACGGGCCCGCGTTCAGGGCGCTCGACGCGCCGACGATGGACGAGCCGTCGCTGGACTTTGCGCAGAGGCACGTGCGATGTCTCTCAGGGCTCTACGGGCTGCTTCGACCGTTCGACGCGATCAGGCCGCACCGGCTCGAGATGGGGACGAAGCTCGCGACGGGCGGTGAGAAGCCGAAGACACAGAAGAAGGATCTGTACGAGTTCTGGGGCGACGCGATCGCGGAGCTCATCGTGGAGGATCTGATGGAGCAGCCGGTCGAGGAGCGATTCGTCGTGAACTGCGCGTCGGCGGAGTACTTCAAGGTTTGGTTCGAGCTCACACTGGTCCCCATACGACCCCGTCGATGTGGTGAACGCCGTTCCTTAAGGACTTTTCCACCCGGCGCATCTCTCCGCCTACCCCTCGCTTTCAATCCCGACACACCTCGATGCCTTTGAACTCCGCTTCTGACGCCTTTGAACTCCACCCCGACGTCGCCTCGTATGGAACAACCCTTCAAGTCGGTTCGCGCGGACGTTCTGGAACGCGCGGGGATAGCGACGTACACGTGCGTGTTTCCCGGGCCGAGCGTGCACGCGAAAGCCGCGCGAGGCGCGATGGCGCGACACGTCGCGGTGAACAAGATCACGCGAACGGAGGGGTTGAAAGCGTTTCGAGGCGTCGCCGGCGAGTGGAGCTTCGCGGAGGAGACGAAACCGAGGACGTTCGTGTTTAAGGTGCGTTCTATACACTGGTCCCCATACGACCGCGTTGGCGTGGTGAACGCCGTTTCTTAAGGACTTTTGCCGTCGTCTCTCTCCGCCCACACCACGGTTTCAATCCCCGTCCTCGATGCCTTTCAACGCCAACTGACGCCTTTGAACTCCACCCCAACATTCGCTTGTATGGAACGACCCTAAGCGGGGCGAAGGCGCGACGTTCAGCGGGAAGGGGAAGAGCGCGCCGAAGGCGGCGGCGGCGAAGAAGACGAAGGCGACGGCGGCGGCGGCGAAGAAGGCGGACGACGACGGCGGCGACGGCGCGGCGACGGCCTCGGGAGGGAAGCGCGCGAAGAGGAAGTGATGAGAGTTACGATTAGATTTTCCGCAAAAATGCCGTCTCATCAAAACGCGTAAGAGATGCACGTGCCGTCGTCCCCCGCCGCGAACAGCCCGTCCTCGCTCGCGTGCACGCATCGCACCGCGGCTTCGTTCGCGCCGAGACCATATAACGTCTTAGGTTCGTCCGTTACGTCGATATCGATGACGTGGATCCCCCCCGAGCCCGTCCCCGCCAACGCCAGCGGCCCGATCGCCGCGAGCGAGTAGACGAAATCGCCGCACGCGACTTTCCCTCTCGCCGCGAACCCGGCCCTCGGGTCGATCACCGCGACGTGACCGTCCGCGCCCGCGGTGACGACCGCCCCGGAGACGGTCTGAACGATGTCGCCGACCGCGCCGGCGCCGGCTTTCTGGACGTGCGCGGCGACGGACGCGACGGGCGACGTCCCGCCGACGCGAGGGTCCCACGCGTGCACTTTTCCGTCTTGACCGCCGCTGAGTGTCGTTCCATACAAAACAAGTTCACCGGTCAGTTGAAAGGGGGCGCGATCAAATGTTGAAACCGGGCGATGGGTGAAAAACGTTTGTATAGAACGCACCTGAGTAGGACCGCGCCGCCGCCGCCGCCGCCGCCGTCTATCCACGCCAGCGACGTGACGTGCCCTCTGTGCCCGCCTCGCCGTCCGACCGCGGCGCCGGAGCCCGCGTCCCAGAGCATGACGACGCCGTCGCGGTCGCCGCTGCCCAAGCCGCCGGACGCGTCGTCTTGGTCTTTTTTTTCCTCAGCGTTCTTCGCTACGCGTCGTTCGCCCCACGCGAGCGTCGTCACCGGCGCTTTGTGCCCGTGCAACGTCCCGACGCACCGATCGCTCCGCGCGGTGAACCCTTTCGGCGCGAGATTCCACAGTTTCAACGTCTTGTCGTACCCCGCGCTGACCGCGGTGAGGCCGCTCGCGCCGACGGCGACGTCGGACACTGAGGGTCGTTCCATACAAAGCGACGTCAGGGTGGAGTTGAAAGGCGTCAGAAGCGGAGTTGAAAGGCATCGAGGTCGGGGATTGAAAGCGAGGGGTAGGCGGAGAGACACGCCGGCAAAAGTCCTTAAGGATCGGCGTCCACCACGCCAACGCGATCGTATGGGAACCAGTGTATAGAACGCGCCTGACCCGTTGTGCCCTTCCAACGCGCTGCACCTCGTCCCTCGCGCGTCCCACAGACAAATCAGCGAGTCCATCCCGGACGATAACACGCGGCCGTCCGGGAGACATCGCACTTTTGTGACCCACTCCTTGTGCCCGTGCGTCTTCGTGTACAGAGTGCGTAACTTTTTACACGTCTTCACGTCGACTTCGTACACGGCGTGGTCGGTGCCTGTTGCGATCGGTCGAGGGAAAACGCGCGTCAGTCCGTTATCGGTGTACTGTATATCATTCTTCCGTGTCGTCAAAACGAACGTGAGGTCCACGGCGCGCGAAACGAAAAAACAAAACTCCTTAAGAAACGACGTTCACCCCGCCAACGCGAGCGTACGGGAAGCAGTCTCGGCGGCGGTCATGGAAACCTCACCTCCGACGTACGCCTTGGCGCCGAGCGCGTCGACGTCGGCGCACACGAGCGGTCGGTCGCTCAGCCTCGTCACCGTCCCCTGCTGGCTCACCGGGGATTCGAACCAGTTCGCGGCGAGGACGGACGCCGGGCGGGACGCGGCGAAGGAGCTCGCGGTCGGCGCCGCGGACTCGCCGCGAAGAAGCGCGCCGCTTGAGGGAGCGGCGCGATGATGAACGGTTTCGTCGTCGACGCCATCTTCGTCCGCCTCGCGCGAGCCTCCCACGCCCATCGCGCGGAAGCCCTCGTCCATCGCCTCCATGTAATCGTCCGCCGCGCGGTGGCTCGTCGCCGCGGAGTGCGCGGGCGGGGACGGGGACGCGCTGCGCGGGACGGGGACGGGGACGGGGACGGGGACGGGGACGGTCAGCGCGCGGGACGCGACGGTCGAGAACTCGGCACCATTTCGTTTCGTTTGAAAAGAATAATACGTCGGCGCGACGCGACGAGCGGCGACGAGCGAGGAAACGCACCCGTCGGGGGCGTTCTGCCTGCGCGACGAGCGCGACGCTTTCAGTCGCGCGAGCGCGGATCGAGTGTCCCCGGACATCGCGACAAAAGATGGCGGGGAGGAAACCGGCGAGGCACCGGGGAGGCGCGCGCCCGAGGATCTGGGACGCGCGGGCGGTTGTTATTGACTTTTCCGACGAGTTTCGTCCGGTCGTCGCTAACAACGAATCGCGTCGCGCCGTCACTCCCCCGCGCCGCCACTCCCCACTCGCGCCCCGCGTCATCATGCGGTCCCTCGCGCCTCCCCCATCCCCGCGCGTCGCGTCCGCGAGGCTCGCGTCCTCCTCCTCATCACGCCGCGCGCCGCCGCCGCCGCCGCGCGCCGCCGCCGCCGCGTCCCTCGCGGAAATCGCGGTCGACGCGGTCTCTCGCCGCGCCGCGCGCGGCGTCTTCGCGCGATGCCGACGCGAGCGCACGGACGCGTTCCGTCTCGTGCACGGCGTCAGCGAGGGCGCGCCGGGGGTGACGATCGATCGATACGGCGACGCGCTGTACGTGCAGTCGTGGCGCGAGCCGATCGCGGAGGCGGAGCTCCGAGACATCGCGGAGGCGGCGCGCGCGGGTCGACTGAGCGACGACGGCGGCGAATCGTTCACGAGTCTGTGGTACCAACCTCGGACGAAGCGCGCGCTCGCGTGGGGTCCGGACGACGCGGGGCGGTCGAGAGACGACGCGATCGCGCGCGGAGGGAGGTACGCGCTGGACGGGGGGGGCGAGTTCGCGCCGGGCGACGACCGCGCGGGGAGACGAGGCGAGGAGGAGGAGGAGGAGGAGGAGGAGAATGACGACGACGAGAATGACGACCCCGCCGCGTTCGCGTTCTCCGAGCTCGGTCTGCGGTACGACTTCGTCCCGCCGCGACGGTTCGGCGACCCGTCGCTGTTCTTGGACTTCCGCCCGACGCGGCGGTGGGTCCGGGATAAAGTGTCGGAGATCGTCTCGGAACGAAACGCGGATGCCGAGAACGCCGCGGCGGCGCCGAAACCGGTATCCGTGTTGAACGCGTTCGCCTACACGTGCGGCGTCGGCGTCGCAGCCGCGTCCGCGGGCGCGTCGCGCGTCCTCAACACCGACCACAGCGAGACTTACCTGCGATACGGCGCGCGCAACGCGGCGCTCAACGACGTCGCGGCCGCGACGCAGTCGCTGTGCGAGGACTTTTACCCCGCGGCGAGGCAGCTCGCGGGTCTGTCGACGCCCGGGCGAAGACGCAAGAGCGATTTCGGTCGCGGAGGTCGCGGTCGCGGGGACAAGCGGCGGCTGAAGAAATCCGCGCCCATCAAACCCGAGAGCTTCGACCTGGTGATCTTAGACCCGCCGACGCTGACGAAGACTAGCTACGGCGCCGTGGACATCGAGAACGACTACCAGTCGCTCGCGAAACCGGCGGCGTTGTGCGTGTCTCCGGGCGGCGTCTTGGTCGCGACGAATCACTCCGCGAAGGTGGGTCTGGACGACTGGCTCGAGATCGTTCGGAAGTGTGCGACGAAGGCTGGGTGCGAGGTCGCGGGCGTGGAGGTTATCGCCCCGGAGGCGGACGACGACGATCATCCGGCGATGGAGGACGGGAAGCGGCCGCTGAAAGTCGCGGCGTTTTACATCGAGTGACGAGCGAGAGCGAGAGCGTTCTGTTTTAGTTTATTATTTTCGCCGAGGGAGGCCGCGCAACGAGAGGTTATAATATTATAGGCCCTACCGTAGTTTAGTGACGTCGTTCGCATTCACTAGTAGTTCGATCGCTCGCCCGTTCCTTCGTATGCAGCCGCGCGGTGTCGTGCTCAGGCTGACGCGCGCGGGGAAGAGGAAAGCCCCGGGGGCTTTCGTCGTCGCTTTCTCCGCCAAACCAAACAGAAAGATTTAACACGACATTCATCAGTTTTTTTTGGCCCGCTCGACAGAAGCGCGCGCGCCCTCTCCCGCGTCGTATCGCGACGATGCCGTCGCCCCCGCGCGAAGACCCCGCGCCGCTGACGCCGCGATCATCGACCCGCGAGCCGCGCCTGCCCGTCCGGCGCGTGGACCTGCGCGAGGTCGCGTCGAGGCTCGACGTGACCCCGCGCTCTCTGCTCACCGCTCTTTTAGGGGGCGACGACGGCGGCGGCGGCGGCGTCGGCGGCGTCGGCGTCGGCGTCGGCGTCGGCGACGGCGGCGGCGAAGCGACCGCCGGCAACGGCGGCCTCTCCGGCTCGACGTCCACGACGGACGTCCCGCTCGTCGCGCACCCCGACGACGCGACGGGAACGATCGAGGAGGAGGAGGAGGAGGAGGAGGAAGAGGAGGACGACGACGACGACTTCGACGACGACGACGACGACGACGCGCGCGCGCCTCTTCTTCCCGCGTCGTTCTCCCCCAGCGCCGCCGCGCACGACGCGCACAGCTCGCTGTCGCGCGCGCAGCTCGCGCGCAAGGCGCGCCGCGCGGCGTCGCGGGACGCGTCGCTCGCGGCCGCGTCCGCGGCGCTCTTCGCCGCGGGCGGCGGCGTCGCCGCGGACGTCGACGTGGAGTCTGGTCGAACCTTGGAAATTATTTTCACGCCCCCCGACGACGACCAAAACCATAACAAAAACCGAAGAAACCGAAACGGCGGCGGCAGTCCTCGATCGCCATCGCCGCTCGGGGGATACATCATCGGCATCCCCGTGACGGCATCGCTGCTCCCGGACGACGCGCGGCGGCCGCCGTCGTCGCCCGTCGCCGCGCGCGAGACCGAAGCCGCCGCCGCCGCCGCCGCTGCCGCCGCCGCCGCGACGACGACGCCTTCCCCTCAGGCACGTTCTACACACTGGTCCCCATACGACTGCGTCGGCGTTGTGAACGCCGTTCCTTAAGGACTTTTCCCGGCCTGTCTCTGCGCCCACCCCTCGCTTTCAATCCCCGCCCTCGGCGCCTTTCAACTCCAACTGACGCCTTTCAACTCCACCCCGACGTTCGCTTGTATAGAACGGCCCTCACGGCGGCCACGGCGACGCGTGCCACCCCGACGAGGACGTGCTCGTTCGGCGCGTCATCTTCGCGGTCCCGGATATGCAAGCGAGCCCGGGAGCGTCGAGCTCGCTCGACCGAAAGCCGCTCGCGTGCGGCGGAACGTCCACGAGCTTATCGCTCCCGAGCGAGGTGAAGAGGGTCACGCTGGAGATGGTCATGCCGCCGTCGATTGGGATCGCGGCGGACGCCGGCGCGCCGCCGCCGCCGCCGCGACGCGGTGAGACTCCTTCCCTCCTGTGCGCTCCCGTCGGTCGCACGTCGTCTCTTAAGGCGTGCATTCGTTCGCGCGCTGTGAACCTCACGTTTTGACACGTGTGACGTGTATCCACCAATCGCGCGCGCGCGCGCGACCGACTGACGCGATTCTTCCCCTCGACCGATCGCCTCGCAGACGGCGGCGTCGAGCTCGCGCGCCCTCCCGACGTCGCCGCCGCGTCGTACGTCTCCCTGAAAGACCTCCGCGCGAACGTCACCGTGACGCGAAGCGTGCCGTGGGTCGGATGGGCCATCCTGCTCGTCGCGGCGATTTCCCTCTCCGGCGTCGGCGCCACCGTGGACCTTCAGAAGTCGACGCCGTTCACGCAGTGCGTCTGGCGCGCGACGTCGTGCATCGTCGTCATGGCGCCGTGGGCGCTGTGGAGTCTGCGGACGCAAGGGCTTCGAGGCGCGAGCGACCCGAAGACGTTCGCGCTGATGATCGTGACCGCCGTGTGCTGGAGCGGCTGGTTCGCGGGGTTCTATTACGGCATCGGTGCGTTTTTATTTTCGCGTTTCGCTTCCGTTTCGTCCTTTCGCACGTGTCTTTACCTCGACCACTCGCAGTCGAGAGCTCTATCGCGCACGCGTACATGCTCGCCAACACGCACAGCGCCATCATCGTCGTCTTCAACCTTGTCACCGGCCGCGAGCCCGTGCCCGCGGTGGACGCCCACGGTGATTGGCGACGTCGTGGCCGCCTCGAGCGCGTGCTTCGGCGCGGCATTCCTCGTGCTCGCGAAGAAATTTCGTGCAAAGGTGGAGCTGTCGCACTACATGTGGCTGTCCATGGTCGTCAACCTTCCGATGTCGCTCGCGGCGGCGATGATCTTGGAAGACATATCGTTCTCGCGGCCGTTCGATCCCGCCGTTGGCGTCCTCGGGTGGTTGACGCGAGAGCAGATCGGTTTGCAGTTGTTCATAAGCGTGTTAGGTGCGCGCGCGTGAGCGCTCGGTTCAGTTTCGACGCGACGTTCGATCCCTTTCGACCCCTTTCGATTGACCGATTGACCCTGTAACATAATAACGACCGACGAATCGAATCTCGCAGGGACGATCGCGGGCACGGCCGGGTACGTCGCGGCGTTGAAGTACCTCTCCCCGACCGTCGTCGCGATCGTGATGCTGTTCGAACCCGTGCTCGCGGCGTTCATAGGCTACGCGGTCGGGGTGAACGCGGTCCCGACGTGGGTCACGTTGATTGGCATGGCGTGCATCACGTGCGGCGCCGGCGTGATCTCCGCGCACGCGGGTGCGACCTGACTGACTGCTACCCATACTACGATACGACCCCCATCCGCACGCGCGTCGCGCGTCGCGCCGATTCGTAGTGCTGAGGACGCTCTCGTCACCCTCCCTCGTGTCTCTTCATCGCGTCGCAGGGCGGGTTCGGACGACGGGCGTGGACATCGACGACGACGTCGCGGCGACAGACGGCGGAAGATGGAACGTCAACCGTCGCGGAGGAGCGACGCCGACGACGGCGACGCGCGGAAGAGCGCGCGAGAGAGTAGAAGGGCACGGCGGAGACGCGGCGGTCCGTCTGCCGCTGCTTGAGAACGGCGCCGCGTGATGGGACGGCGAATCATAATCAATTCAATTCAATCGACGTAAAGAATACAAAACGCGGACGCGCGCGCGCGGCTACGCCGTCGTCCGTCGTCTCTCAGCACCGCCGCCGCCTCGCCTCGCCTCGCTCGCGCTCCTCACTTCACCCCGTATGCCTCCGTGAGGTGCGTCCGCGCCTCCGAGTCAACGCCCCTGACGACGACGTTGTCCATGATCTGGTTCATGTTCTTCATCAAATTCTCGACCGGAGGCTCCGGCGATGCCTTCCCCGCCGCTACCGCCTCGTCCACGATCTTCCTCTGCGCCTTCTCGATCGCCTTGATCTCCGCCGTGTCCAGCAGTTCGTGCTCGACGATCAGCTTGCGCAGCCTCTCGACCGGATCCCTCTCCTGTCGGATCCCGGTGATCTCGTCGCGGGTGCGGTACGTCGACCCGGGGTCGCTCATCGAGTGCCCGTGGTACCGGTACGTGTCCATCTCGAGCACGATCGGGCCTTTACCGGAGACGCAGTGCTCTTTCGCGAACTTGATCGCTTGCTTCACCGCGAGCGCGTCCATGCCGTCGACTTTCAAACCGGGGACGTAGTCGCCGCGTTTGAAGTACTCGGGCGATTTCGCGCTCTTCGCGATGGCGGTGCCCATGCCGTAGTGGTTGTTCTCGCAGACGTAGATCAGGGGCAGGTCCCACAGCGCCGCGATGTTGAGCGCCTCGAAGAGCTGCCCTTGGTTCGCCGCGCCGTCGCCGTACATCGCGACCGCGACGTTGGGTTTCTTCTCGTACTGCATCGCGAACGCGAGCCCGGCGCCGATGGGCGTCTGCGTAAATTCATTCGGGGCGGCGGCGGATTCGAAAGGCGCGTCAGAGTCGAAGTCGAAAGGCGTCGTAGATTGGGTCGAGCGTTGAAACCGAAACCGTCGAGGGGTGCGCGGAGAGAAAAACGCGCGGGCGGGCGGCAAAAGAACGTCCTTAAGGATCAGCGTTCACAACGCGAACGCGGTCGTATGGGGACCAGTCAGAACTCGCCTGCGCGCCGACGATGCCGTTCCCTCCGAAAAAGTGCGCGTCTCTCTTGTACATGTGCATGCTCCCTCCCATGCCCTTGCTCGCGCCGTCGATTCGCCCCATGAGCTCCGCCATCACCTCCAACGGCGTCCCACCGCGCCCCAAGTGCGTGCAGTGGTCGCGGTACGACGTCACGATCGCGTCGTCCTTGTTGAGCGCCGCTTCCATCCCGACGCACACCGCCTCCTGAGGGCCGTTCCATCGTTTAAAGCGACGTCGGGGTGGAGTTCATAGGCGTCAGAAGCGGAGTTGAAAGGCGTCGAGGGCGGGGATTGAAAGCGAGGGACCCTGGGCGAAGAGAATCGCCGGGCAAAGTCCTTAAGGAACGGCGTTCACCACGCCGACGCGGTCGTATGGGGACCAGTGTGAGATAGAACGCGCCTGCCCGTCGTAGAGGTGGCAGAATCCGCGGATGAACTTCCCCTTGTAGAGAACGTCCGCGGCGATCTCCAGACGGCGCATGAGGTAGGACTGCGTGAACATGTCCACGATCTCGGCTTTGGAGGTCTCGACGGTCTGCGACGGCGGGTCGATTCTGTGCGCGACGAACGGGATGGGCACGTCGATCATCATCTTGCCGTCGTCGGTCGTCGCGCCGGTCTTCTTCGCGAACGTCGCGCGGCGCTGCGAGGAGGTTTAGGAGGAGGAGGTTTAGGGTTTGGGTTGAGG